AAGGCCTTAGCACGGGGCAAGAGGACACAAAGGTGGGTACTCTTGAAGAATATGCCACAATGTTGCCATTCAAGTTGCCATGAAGGAAGCGGTGCACAACGAAGATTGTATTGGTAGGGGCAGAGGCCCAAGATCTAGACAATGGTGCACTAATTGCAGCGAAGTCGGGGGACTTTGGGGAGCTACTAGGCGACGGATTGTCCTAGAGCGGTGCTTCATCTAGGTGTGACCCAAGAGTGGGTGGATGAAGGTCGATTGCCAAAGGAGCGAACAAAATCGAAGGTGGAAGAGACCCTACGATGTATTGGCAGAGGCCACACATGGAGGGATCACAATTCGAGTTCATCCCACAAGGACCAGAATGCAATGGAGATGTCACCAGGAGGCGACATGGTGCAGCGGATCGTGGTGGAACAGTTCTTGGCAACTGCGATACACACGACATAGTCCCGTGAGGGACTAGATCATACGGAGATATGATCGAGAGCTACTGGAAGCTCCACTTCAGTGAACAATACGACGGCAAGAAGGGCTATGGATTCAAGGAGTGAAGGCCATGGTACCGCAGAGGCGAGTCTTCCGTGCGTGCATCGAATTTTGCAACGGATGAAAGCCTTGGTCATCAGCATAGGAGGGTTGTGTTTCACCAAGGGAAAAGTTCGAATGCAAGTACCAGTGAGTCCTATGGGAGGGACTTGATCATGCAGAGGTATGATCGAAGCAGCTGGAGAGTTGGATTGCTCCAGAGCCTATATTCGCTTAAGGGAGCCCGACAAGTCAGAGAACAAGGTCGAGTAAACGAATGTTGCTACCAAGGAAGTTAAGGAGAACAGAATTGGTGCAAATCCTATAATGCGATGGCAGAGGCCATGCATGGGAGTTGTAGTCTGTCTTTCCATCGACCAAAGGGAGCTGCTTGGAGAACACAGAGGTGTTGAAGTAGGGGGTCGAAAGGGGCGAGGAAGCGATGACGAGTCCAAAGGGACTTAGCTACCCAAAATTAAGCATCAGTTAGAATGGAGGTGGACTCAGAGGAGTGCCACAGAGACATATCTACTGATCGTGAAGAAAAGGGATGCAGATGCGAGGCGACGAATAGTAGGGCCATGGGCATGGCAGCGCCATGGTACCACAGAGGCGGGACTTCCGTGAAAGTCATTGATCCCTTGCTCTCATGGAGGGAGAGCGCTTGGTCGTGAAAGGGGCCGAGGAGGTGGAGCATGCAGAGGCAAACTCCAAGTACCGAGACAAGGCTGAAGGGCAGAGGCCAAGGAACTTCGTAAGACCGGTGTCAATGAGCTTCTCATCAAGATAGTCGAAAGTAAAGGACTTCGGGTCAGGCAAGAGTGCATGACCAAGGAACGAAGTAGACAGTACGCGGTGCTGTACCTTTGCTACTTAGTGGAGTAGGCGGCAGGGTTGATGGAGAAGACGGTACAATCCCAGAGGCGACCAAACCTATGAGAGAATCACTCCAAGTTGGGGTGAAAACTTCCTGCATTCCAGAAGTTCGATGGCATTGAGAAGGTGAATCATAGTAACTAACTCAATGCAAGGAGTGCAAACACTTCAAGTGCTTCAAAAGTGTGAGCAAAGAGCAGGCGAAGGTCAGTAACCAGCTCGATGCATGGAGTACAACCTCAAGGAGGCAGGCGAAGTCAAGTAACCTTTGCCTTCTCAACTCTTAAGAGACTGGGCGAAACCGAGTACCCCAATTCTCTTATCTATCTAGCAGAGGAGCTCTGCACATGTTCAAAGACGCTTCGAAGATAATAGAAGACAATAGTTGTCAAATCCTCATCAACGGTGATCAGTGCTACTGAGAGTAGATTGTCCGCTTCATTTCCCAACGAACTGCCAATCGAAAACGGAAGTGATGTGAACCTACTTGGAAGTGACAACTAAGTGAAAGAAGAGTCAATGGGCAAATTTTGTGGAGGAAGGACCCAAAAACTTCAGAAGTTTGCGAGACGATGCTCGTTAAAGCTCCAACAAGCATCCACTCAGTTTAAGCAGCAAGAGCATTTGAGAGACTAACGCATAGTAAGGATGGTCTTTTCCTTCATCCGGAGGATCCATAGGAACCAACAGGGATCAACACAACTCAGCCAACCCCACACTAGAGTCAGAGTCATTGGCGAGTTGAAGCAGCATGGTGGATTAAAGGTTCGACTACTCAAAAACAGCAGCGGAGAGCAGCTGGGAGCCAAGAGGCGCATTGCAGCTGGAGTAGAAGATTAAAGACTCAGTAAAGGTGAGGAGTTGCAGTGTCGACAAAGGCTTCGACGAGGACGTCGAAGGAATAAGTGGGGGAGAATGTCACGGACAAACTTCTAAACAGGATGTTTGATGTAATGCTTATGTATGTCCGTGTCTTTTGGTATGTTCATGCTTTGTACAGCATGTAGAGGGACGGCCGAAGGCTTAATAGTCCCATTTTAGTTAAGTTGGTGGCCACTTTAGGCTTGTAAATAAAGGTTGTGTCATGAGGACACGTGTGAGAGATTTTTGGTCTATAGTGGACCATTTTACCCTTTGTTGTGCAACTGTTCAGAGCTTGTAAAGTCTGTTTGTAATTTGCATTGTCTATGAAGTGTTTTCGGAGATGTTTGCTTGTGGATCCTGAGTGAGGCGTTCTCTCTAACCCGTTCTCTTTTTTGTTGGTCCTAAGGGACAATGAGAGGCTTCGGGGAGGCTGACCTTTGCGGACGGACACGCAAGAGTGCGCGGACGGACACGCAAGGGTGCCGCGCGACTTAAGCAAAACCAGCTAAGTCCATGACACATCGGCAAATGATGGCAGCAGCGACAGCAGTGGCATCTTCCTTCAGTGGTAGCTGTGGGTCTTCCTCCCGCGGTAGTTTCTTCCCTTCCCTCCTCTCTCCTACCTTTGCCCCATTTGCTGCAACCCTCCTATGTTCACTGTAGCCATCCTATGTTCACCACAACTCTTGTATGGTGTCACCGCTGCCCCCTTTCTTCCCCCTCTTCTCCAATCGCTCCTCTCTTCCCTCTTCCCTCTTCAGCCCTCTCATGTTCCTTCTTCACCCCTCTACCACAGCCCTCCTATGTTCACCGTAGCCCTCCGCCGCAGTCCGCAGCCTTCTCTTCCCTCTTCCCTCTGCCACAATCTTCCTATGTTCACCGCAGCCCTCGTATAGTGTCACCGCAGCCCCCCGTCTCCCCCCTCATCCCCAATCACTCTTCTCTCTTCTCTCTTCCCTCTTCCCCCTCTTCCCCATTCACTGCTTCCCTCCTACTGTCCTATGTTCCTCGCTCTTCCCTGTGTGTCAAATTTGCAGATTTTGGAATTGTTTCTTTGGATGTTTTTATGCTTGAGTTTTGGGGTAATCGGCTTGGAATTTGGTTTTACAAGAATCTGCAACGTATGAAATGAGGGTTTATTACTTATCGTTTATTGGGTGCATAGCTTTTAGAGGAAAAAGCATCTGGTTTTACAAGAACAGCAGCTCTCTGCTGTAGTTAACAGTACCATCTTTGCTGTAGTGAATAAGTAAAATGTCTATTATTATGGAAGAGGTGGAAGAAGAGGAAGAAGAGGAATATAAATCATCCGGAGAGGAAGAAGAGGAAGATGGTTACAAGATTGACGATGATGAACTAAATTTTAATGATTCTTGATGTTAATTTTGTTTTATTTTGTCATTTTTGCTATTGGATATGGACAATGTAGTTTGATACTTTAAATGGATGCATGTTTGATGTGTTATTTTAATTTTAGTTTAATTTTATTAATCATGACATATAATTTTTAAATTATAATATTCGGGATCGCCTAGCCTCGCTCGGATGAGTGCTAAGCAGCATTTAGCGCCTCGGGCATTTTGGGACCATGGCTCCTTTTGGCGCCTATCATTTTTGACTACACTGGTCCTAATCTAGTTAGGACACCATCCTTTTAATCACTAGGAGAGAGTCCTAACTAGAGAGTCCTAACCTAGTTAGGACTCTACTCCTCAAGCTTATAAAACAAGAGGGGTGCTCCACTCTCGGATTATCCGAAGGCAAGGATTTTAATTTCGAATGATATTGCCCAGTTCGCTAGTAAATCGGTATGCGGACTGCTCGCTACTGGGCGGTACCGTCGATTGGGGCTGTTTCTGCCCCGTTACCACCCGAAAACTTGTTTGGTTCTTTGGTGGTGTCGTTGGGGCACTTGTGCATAAGGACGTTTGTACGCGGTGGACTGTATTGGACCCTTTGTGACGTAACTATTGAGAGCCTACGAAGTTATCTTTGCATATTGCATTCCATATAAGGTGTTTACTTAAATGTCTATTTGTGGGATCCCAAGTTTGCATTTCAGAATAGTGACAACGATAAATTAACTTGTTTGGTTGATTAGCAATCACTGTAAATCAACTTGTCTTTGATTTTTTTTCCTTGACTATTTTGCCCCTTCTTTCCCCTTCATTTCTTAGTAGTTTTGTTTTTGTTTCTCGCTCATTCCATGTGTAATTGAACAATAATTGAGATTCTTATCTTTTATTTTTCAATTTATCCCTCTTGGGTTGCCTCCTAGTCCAGCAAGTACCATCAGATATTGCCCTCCACAGATTTTGTTAACATTGGCAATACTTTGCTTTTTCACTTCTTAGTTTCTGTTAGTTATCACTTGTGCTGCAAAGTTTCGCAAGATGTGCCAAGAAGAGAAATTACTAAGTGACAGCAAATGTAAGCTAATATATAGATAAAACATCATACCAAATGTCAAAACTTGTTTGATCATCAGTTGCTTTTGGAAAAGTTATTTTATTTGGAAAACCAAAAATTAAAACTAAAAATTGTGTCCTCTTGTTTGCTAGAAAAAGTGATATTGCGTGAGTCTTTAATAATCACATAGTAGCTGTAAAAAAAAAAAATCACATAGTAGCTGTGAGTACAGATAATCTGGCATCATATGATGTCCTTTTTTATGTAATGCCCACATGCTCTTCAATAGGCATTTGTATTCATCGCAACTTTCTGTTTTCTGGCAGATGATCCTTCCTGTTGCTGTGGAGGATGTAAAGCGGGAAGTAAAGATACTGCAAGCCCTGAAAGGCCATGAGAATGTTGTCAATTTTCATAATGCATATGAGGATGATTCCTATGTGTATATAGTCATGGAGTAAGTTTCTTTATCGTGATCTATTTAGTAGCATGGAATTATTGCAACACAACATTCAATTTCTCCCTATTCATTTTATGTCTCATGCCTTCCATTTATTCTTTTGAACACATTGTTACAAACTGGTCAACATAGATGGAAAAGTATCTTTCTCATCTTCTCTTAATAAAAAGGAATTAACATGTTGACTTACATATGGAGCATCATGAAAAATTACCAACTGCCAATTCTGATCTTCTGATATTTTTTCCTTCTTTTAATGTACCTGATGTTTTTTCTTTAAATTAAATGGTTATTTTTTTCTTAAGAAAATTGTCTACTTGTTTTTATCTTAATTGTTAAGACTTCAATCTTGTAATGAAAAAGACCAAGATTGCTGGTAACTTCTTCAATTAAAGGCTTTCATTTTGATGGTGAATTCAATGACAGATTAACATTCTGAAAAATTTAGATATAGTATCATAACTGATATTATTACTTTCATAGGTTTAATTTATACCTAAAGCTTTTCACTTGCTAGAGTTCTGGGGACAGGAGTCTGATTCAACTTCTTTATCTGAACTTTCTTTTGAAATTTAAGATATTAGAGACAGTAATGTCAAGGCTAATTTGTTTGTAGTCAAACTTGTGACTGAGTTTGCTTTCTTCGATATTAATGTCATGTTTGTTTTCTTTTACTTCTTTATCAGGTTATGCGAGGGAGGTGAATTACTGGATCGGATATTGGCCAAGTAAGATTTCTTAGCATTTTTGGAGTTTTAGGATTACAGTGCCTCCATTGTATCTTCTTTGACAAATTGAGATACAATTGGTGTAAAATAAATCATCTATAGAATATTAGAATCTTTGAATTTATGTAACCTTGTGTCTTCTTTGATGTATTCATCTTGTGCTCGACGTACTAAACAATGTTTGCCATTTATAGAAAGGATAGTTGCTACACAAGTTTAAGGGCTTCTAATTTTGATATTTTCTTTACAGAAAGGATAGTCGCTACACTGAGAAAGATGCTGCAATAGTAGTAAGACAGATGCTTAAAGTTGCAGCTGAGTGTCATTTGCATGGTTTGGTACACCGAGATATGAAGCCTGAGGTAAATCTGAATAATTTAAACAGGCTTTCTGAAATACAGTTTTGAGTACCTACTGAAGTTGTCTTGATTTTTACTGTGAAATCCCTGTCTATATGCAGAACTTTCTTTTCAAATCAACTGAAGAGAACTCACCTCTGAAGGCAACAGATTTTGGCTTGTCTGATTTTATAGAGCCAGGTCTTTTTTATGAGTCTGATGAAATTTAGTAGGTTCAAGTGATTTTCTTACACTAAAAGTTATCATAAATGTCTAAATGATAATATTTCGTTTAAAATTTTAAAATAGTTAATAATGACATGATACAGGGAAGAAATTCCATGCTATTGTTGGTAGTGCATATTACGTTGCACCAGAGGTATTAAAGCGGAAGTCTGGCCCTGAATCTGATGTTTGGAGCATAGGGGTCATCACTTATATTCTTCTTTGTGGAAGACGTCCCTTTTGGGATAGAACTGAGGATGGAATATTTAGAGAGGTACATATGCATTTTGATTTGTCAAGTCATAATATAGAAATATGTTAATATTTCAACAGTTCATATGTTCTTTTTATTAAAACCTTAGTACTCTTGCTTCTTGCTTCAGAGAAGTGTTTTTATGTCACTCCTGAAGACTACAGGTAGCATGTTGTATTTCCTGTTCATGTGATTCTCATAATGACTGTAATGTCATGTCACCGAAATGATTCTAAAGCATGTTTCCTACTTTAAAGCATTATGATTAAAATTTTAGCTGGGCTTGTCAGATTACATTACTTGAAAATTTTCTTCTCTAAAGCATTACATTGGTGTCTGAGGTTTTTGGTCAATAATAAGCTTCCTAAATATTTGTATCTCTAATTCTTGTGTTTGGTTATCAAATTTCAAATTATTAAAATTGTCATTCTCAGAAGTCTTTTAGGTGTGGTCTACTGATGCCTGTGCAGATTATGTTTTGACCAATCTGTCTTGCAGTGTCTAAATTAGTTGTTATGATATGGAAAACATCTTTATTTTTTAACGGACTTGTAGGCATGACACAAGTTTTCTAGAGTTGTCAAAGAGAATTAATGTTGGTGCCTAATTCTTGATGAGTTACTTGTTTAAAGACTATTATGATATATTAGAATCTACAAATGTAGATTGTAGAAACAGAAAGTTGTTAAGTTTTCAACTTGTCCTATGTACTATCAAATCAATTTAAACAATTATAGATGCACATAACAAAATTTTGGTCCCTTGACAAATTGTATGCCGTGTTAAATGCCTTTTTTTCCTTTGATATATTTTGGTCAAATTTGAGTGACTTTTAGCAAGCATCTTATTTTCCACAGAGCAGCTTAGAATTCTTGGTTAAATGAAAAAGAAACTCATGGTCCACTTAGTAAGTAATAATTCTATTTGTTATGCCTAATAAATCTCATTTTGTAGATCTAATGGAAACTGCCTCAGTTGATAAAGTAGTTCTTTATGATATCAGATAGTATTAGGTCTATCTGGGAATAAGTAAAAGGTTATGTTTGTCCTTTTGCAGCATATAATTCTTTTCTCCATTTTTTCTGCATAGAACATATTTTTTCTTTTTCATTTTTTGCAGAAACTATAAGTACCCTTGTTGCTGGCTCACAGGTGTTAAGGAACAAGCCTGATTTTCGTCGGAAACCATGGCCTAGCATAAGCAACAGTGCCAAGGACTTTGTTAAGAAGTTATTAGTAAAAGATCCTCATGTTAGACTCACTGCTGCTCAAGCTTTATGTACGTGTTTCACCTTGAGTTTCTCTAATTTTAGTGCTTCAGTACTGTTTGTCATGGCTTTTTAGTTTAAAATTATACATCACCGTTGATGTTTAATCTTGCTGCACATTCATTAAAATTTTCAACTGCAGTTCTCGTACACATTCTATCTCATCGTTATATGAAACCTCTAAATGATATTGTAATTTTGTTTTGTTCTCTTATAAATTGCTTTTATATCAATGTGCTTTATACAGCACATCCATGGGTGAGAGAAGGGGGCAATGCATTAGAGATACCATTGGATATCTCTGTTCTATCAAACATGTGCCAGTTTGTAAAGTATAGCCGTGTTAGAACCCTTGCAGATTCTAAACTTGGGATTGATCTCTTTAGGAGATCGACCTCCTTGGAACTCTATAGGGGTTCCTCCCTCCAAGTTGCTGCCCAAAGGCTGCAGAAAAGATTCATCTATTGCTTGTGAAAAGAGGAGGAATACATGACTATTTATAGGGCTTCTAAACCCTAACTCCTAATAGGACTCCTACTCAAGACTCCTACTTCTAACCAACTCATAATAGGACTCCTACTTAAGACTCATATTCCTTTACAACTCCTAATTCTTAAGACTCCTATTCCTTTACAACTTCTAATTCTTCTTTAAGAAACAACCTCCTAACCCTAGCCGATCTCTTTACCTCTTTAATAGGGGTCGGCTTAGGTAGGTTTTACATGAATGTCTCTCTCAATTAGGACTCTCCTAGCTAGAGTCCTAATGTTAGAACCCTTGCAGATTCTAAACTTGGGGTTGATCTCTTCAGGGGATCGACCTCCTTGGAACTCTATAGGGGTTCCTCCCTCCAAGTTGCTGCTCAAAGGCTGCAGAAAAGATTCATCTATTGCCTATGAAAAGAGAAGGAATACATGGCTATTTATAGGGCTTCTAAACCCTAACTCCTAATAGGACTCCTACTTAAGACTCTTACTTCTAATCAACTCCTAGTAGGACTCCTAGTCAAGACTCATATTCCCTTACAACTCCTAATTCTTCTCTAAGAAAACACCTCCTACATGAATGCCCCTCTCAATTAGGACTCTCCTAGCTAGAGTCCTAACAGAATGTCTCTCTCAATTAAGACTCTCCTAGCTAGAGTCCTAACAGGTTTACATGAATGTCCCTCTCAATTAGGACTCTCCAAGCTAGAGTCCTAACAGACCCGCCCTCTTCAAATCAGCCTTGTCCTCGAGGCTGATGATTCGTGAATTTTGGGAATTTGATCTTTAAGTCGTCATAGTTCTCTCAAGTGGCATCTTCTATTGGTAGGTTCGCCCACTGTATTAGCACTTCATTAGTGGGTCATCGTCGTCGAGTCACGATCCGTCGATCAATAATGGCACTTGGCTGGGTCTGGAGTTCTCTTTGGGTAGTCATATTTGGTGGGTGGCTTTGGGTTGTCTCCAAGCACCTATTTAAAACTTTCGTCTGGCCGTCGGTTTGTGGGTGATATGTCATACTCCTTTTCAATTTAGTACCCTTATAGTGTAATTCTTTTGAGTCCCAATTGTAATGAGCCATGGGGCTTGGTGCTTCCTCCAACTTTTTATAATCTTACTAGTCTTTGAATCTTCCTGCCATTCCATCTTAATATCCTTAAGAAAGTCGCTGGTCGGAAGTGAAACGG